TTGAAAGCCCCCTGTTCACACTGATGGGCAGAATCACAGTGTCTGAGACAGGAGTCCCCTGTGTTTCTCCTTTGCCAGCAAAGCTACAAACCTTCCTTTCCCTCAAAACCATGTCCTTGTTTTTTTATTGGCATCAGGGACGAGGACAGAGGTTTTGTCAACAGTGCTTGCTCTCTCTCTCTCTCTCTCTCTCTCTTTTAATATCTTTACTTCATTTATTTATTTTTATGTGGTGCTGAGGGTTGAACCTAGCACCTCACACGTGGTAGGCGAGTGCTCTACCGCTGAGCCCCAGCCTCAGCCCAGTGCTTGGTCTCTTGCTGAACATGATTTCTGTAAGAAGATGATGACAGCCTTTTAAAAATCTTCTTTCCAAATCTAATCTTTTTATTCCTTTTTCTCTTTTCATTACCCTTGTTAGGACTCTAAAAACATTGAATAAAGTAGAGATGGAACTCTGTGTTGTCTTTTTTGTTTTTGGTGCTGGGGCTTAGAAACCAGGGCCTTGTGCACACAAAGCAAGTACTCTACCAACTGAGCTATAGCCCTAGTCCTCTCTTTTGTCTTTTTAAARGATGCTTCCAAACCTCCATTTGGGATAATGATTCCTCTAGGATTTATCTTTTTTTCTGGTGCTAGGGATTTATCTCAGCAGCACCACTGAGCCATCTCCCCAGTCAAATTTTGTATTTTATTTGAGACAAGGTCTCACTGAGTTGCTCAGCACCTTGCTTTTGCTGAGGCTGGCTTTGAACTCATGATCCTCCTGACTCAGCCTCCCAAATCACTGGGATTACAGGCATGTGCCACTGTGCCTGGCTTGGGTTTTATCTTTTGTATTTGTTTTTGTGATGCTGGGAGTTGAAGCCAGGGCCTCATCCATGCAAATAGGTGAGTGCTCTGCCACTGAGCTACATCCCTAGACCTTTTTTAAAAAAAATTTTTTGAGACAGGGCCTGCTGTGTGCTGAGGCTGGCCTCCAACTTGCTATCCTCCTGCTTCAGCCTCCTGAGTCACTGGAATTACAGGCATGGACACTGTTCTCGCCCCAGGACTGATTTTTATAGTTATCTTTTACCAGGCAAATAAATTTTTTTTTCTTTCCTTTTCACTGAGTTTTATATTTTACATAATGAATTGATGATTAATTTTTCACACTTACTGAGATCTTTATAAGATTTCTTTTTTTTTTCCCCCCTTTGGGTACCAGGGATTGAACTCAGGGGCACTTGACCACTGAGCCACATCCCCTGCCCTATTTTGTATCTCATTTAGAGACAGGGTCTCAYTGAGTTGCTGAGGCTGGGTTTGAACTTGATATTTTCCTGCCTCAGCCCCCCAAGCCACTGTGCCCGGCTGGGTTGCCAGCTTCTTAACCCACCAATTTAACAGGCTTGTGCCCACTTCAACTCTCTGTCCTGTGGCTGAAGCCAGAATTAGACAGGCAGATAGGCTAGGGTCTGATCCAAAGAATGGAGGGATTGAAATGTTAATTCCTGCAGAGCCCTCCCTCCACCCTTATCAAGAAAATCAGCCCCTGGCTCCAACCTCTGGCTAAGGTAACCTGTTCCAGGGACTGTCCCTCCCTACAAGGAGTTTCTAATTATGCCTTCTTCCTGCCCCATCACTCCACCTTGGCCCCTGCAGCCCACCTACTTCTCACCTTTTGGCCATCCCACCAAGCATCTCCTGGGGTCTAGACCCGTTTGCAGGAAGGAGAGATAAGGGGAAGAGAGCAGGAGAACAAAGGAAGCCTAGGACTTATAAAAGAACGGAACACTCTCACTTCTTAGGATACCAGGATACCAGCTATGGCCCCCTTCTCCCTSCCAGGAGAAGTCTATGTGACCCCTTTTAAATAAACCCTGCCTTATGTGCTTGCCTCGGCTTGCTTCTCTAGTGTTCTTCAACACGTGAGGGAGCAGGACTCATCACTGGTAACTTGGAGTATCATGACTACTGATGCTCAGAACTCTCAGGGTTTGTTTTGCCAATTTCTGACTTCTTTTGTAGGAAGTGTCGGGCACCATTTCTTTAACTGAGTCTTTGTTTTCTAATTTTGGAGTTTCTTACAAGGATTCTAATACTTTTTTTTTAAAAAAGAGAGAGAGAATTTTTAATATTTATTTTTTAGTTATCGGCGGACACAACATCTTTGTTTGTATGTGGTACTGAGGATCGAACCCGGGCCGCACGCATGCCAGGTGAGTGCGCTACCGCTTCAGCCACATCCCCAGCCCTATTTGCATTTATTTTATGCTAAACTTATTTAATTATTTTATTTATTTATTTTTAATTTATTATTTTTGTTTTTGTTTCTCTGGCTTCTTCCAGGATCTTTTTCTCCTGGTTGAAGAACAATCTGTTCCTTTTCACTGAGGATCACCTACCTGCATGTTGCAGGGGACTCCTGTGCGGGCGAATTTACCTGGACCCCATAGGACTCAACCTGGGTGTGTTCAAAGTCACATCTTTTGGACACTTGGTGGCTTTCTGGACCCGCATACCCTTGATGGCCTGGTGGGTTTCCTGGGTGTCCTTGAAGTGGACACCAAGGTTTGAACCTCTGGATTTGCCTGTTGTGTGGGTGTGTGGGCTTCCAGGGAGCCCTCTCAGGCTGCCACTGGGAGGCAGAGGCTTCTCTCCATGGGCAGCTGGAGGCCTCCTTTCAGTGCTTTTGTTTGCTCCTTTGTTTTCTGGTGCTGGGGATGGAGCCCAGGGCCTGGCACATACCCACTTAGCCTTCTAAAGTGGTTTTTGATGGGAGCAAGTTTTTTAATTTAATTAATCAATTAATCAATTTCTGAACATTTTTATGCTCTCTTGGTGAACACCTGTCCTTGTCTCTCCTTTCTAAACAGTGCACTTGGGGTCCTCTCTTGTATGCACCTGTGGGCTGCATTTGGACTGTGTTAGAGCCACTGACCCACGGAGGCTGCTCCCACCCCCTTGACTTATTCTTTTGTAGATTCACTTGTTTTCTGTGTTTACTTTCTTCCCTCCCTGCCTCTGTGCTGGAGGGATACATGCATGGACCTCCCCCGTCCACCACAYGGATACCATCTAGACTGTTGGTGCTGGGTTACTGGGCAGGGCTTTCTCTTTTTCTTGGGCGCTACCAGTTTTCTGAAGATAACAGTGGCCTTTGCCTTAATCATTGATTTCCTTTGCTGACTGTATCTCTTGCAACATTTTCTGAAACCGTCYTTTCATTTGGCTGTCTCATGGGTCTGACACTGGCTTTGCCTGAGAATGTGCTGCCTCCTGCTTGAGCCGMTGTTCTGGGGAGGCACAGTCCAGGCTCTAAGTGTCTTCCTCAGCATTTGAAGCTGCTCTGCTGACAGTGTACATCCCCTGTTGTAGGTGTCCCATGCCGATCGCAGGTCTCTTCGTGGGTATGGAAATTTGTGGGCAGTGTGGGGAGGCAGTGTCCCTTCCATAGGGTRCTGTGGTCAGCCCTTTAGTGTCTGAGGCCCAAGAGGAGGAGTGGCCACCTAGGCAGGCAGGGTCCGGGGAACAGGGCGATGGCCTGGGTCCTCAGCCTGAAGCCCCAGTGTTCCTGKGGGCTGTGGAGATCCAGAGCCTGCAGGGGCATGGCAATGTGTGCAGACAGGGGGCATCTGTTCTGCTGCCACATTTAGGGATCCCTCTAGGCTGAAAGCCACTTGATGTGTGGCTTTAGTGGACCAGGGTCACCTGCAGGCATGGGAGGGGGCTCCAGAGAGACCTGTCAGACAAGTGTCTCTGTCTTCCAATGGCAAGGGGCAAAATTTGGCCCATAACAAGGAGCTACTCCATGCTGGACCTGAAGAGCCCACGGCCTCCTGGGGAACCAGGAGAGATGTCCTCCCTTCCTCTCAGGGTCTGTCTTCTCTCAAATGCACACCCCCCACACACCTGGCAAGAAGTCCTCATATTCCCAGACTCTTGTAGAAGCAGATTCAGGGTGTCTTAAGCCAGGGTTGCAAGGGCTTTGGGATCACAGAAGGCTCATGGGAGGGRAGACCAGGAGACCCCACAGCTCCCTTTTTCTGATCAGGAACCATGACATTGCAGTCCCCCAGAGACCCACCCACCATACACAGAYCTTAGCCTAGGGACACAGAGAGGCCTGAGGAAGGCATCAGGCATCGGAGACAACTGTCACTCTTTGGGGGCCCAGGCCTGAGCYCTCCAAGTTTGGGGAATGCCCTGAGGGTCTTGGCAGGCCTAGMCTCTCTCCTCCTGTGTAGTCTCTGTCCTGCTTCCCCAGCCTAAGTGCTGTCCACCACCTGGCTCAGCCCACAGGAGGGACCCAGCTGTGCTGGAAGCCAGAGGGGGGTAGGGGTGGGGGGTAGGGGTCCTGGTCCTGGCTGCAGTCAGTGTCCTGCCCAGGTGGCCCCCAAGGAGGTGGCAAACAGAGCTTGGGTCCCTCTTCTTYCATCTTCACCTGCTTGTGGAGGTCACTGTGAGGTCAGCATGCCAGGGCCCACCTTCCTGGGCCTCCCACCCACACAGACCCTTCCACAGACCTCTGGATAACAAGGAGGCCTTCCAACAGCCTTTCCTTAGCTGAGGTCCCCAGCCCGTGTCTGAGCTTATGGCTAGGAGTCCCTCCAGGCTATGGAGGAGACAACCACAGCTGGAGTATCCCTGGTCCTTCTGCAGCCCCGCTGAGGACAGAAGGGCAGTGCCTGAGGAGCCAACCTCTGACTTGTCCTTCACGGTATTTCTCTCCCTTTCCAATGCCACACTCCCACACTCGTGGTCTGTGTCCTTCAGCTACAAGGGGAGCAGGGCATATGCCAGGGCCTRCCCCACCTGGCCCCAGCTTCTGGAGAAGTGCTTGGCCACAGCACTCCCCCAGCCCCCTCCCCCACAGGGCTGGTGTGTCAGTGCCCACATCCTGTGGCAGAGGGATAAATGGGGCCTGAGGGGACACCCAAGGAGGGAGCAGGACCGCCCCAGCCATCCCAGTCCATCCTCAATACTCCTGGCCCAGGAGYTCTCAGGTCCCTAGGATGCTGTGGCTGCTGCTCCTGGTTCTCCCCTGCCTGGGGGGCTCCACTCCCCTGACCCCTGGTGAGTCCTAACCCCACCCTACTCCATGCCTTCCTGCCCCAGGACCTGTCCCCACCCCCAGGGCTCACAGGACCATTCCTGGGGTTGTGTGGGCATCATTCACTYGCCAGGAGCCTTGCTGCCTCCTGAGCCCTGGGRAGACCCTTGTCTGGTCCCTGACAGCCCCTCCACATGCCTCCCCAGACCCCCGCCCAGGACTGGAGCTGGTRKGCATCGTCGGGGGCTGCCCTGTCTCAACCAGGAGGTTCCCGTGGCAGGTCAGCTTGAGGTTCTACAACATGGGTAGGAGACTGTGGGAGCATGTCTGCGGAGGCTCCCTCATCCACCCTCAGTGGGTGCTGACAGCTGCCCACTGTGTTAAGCCGTGAGTGGGCCCCACCCATTTCTTTTGCTGGGTGCGGGTGGGCACCAGGAGGGGGCCAAGGGGCCAGGGGTGGGAGGCAGGATTTGGGGGGGGGCCCTCCCTGGGCTGCAGGGAAGCCTTGGCCCCGAGGGTGTGGCCAGATTCCTGGGCTGCTGGGGAGCTTGGCTTCCCTGAGGGCCTGGCCAGCCTCCCTGAGGGGCTCCTGCTCCCCTCTTCCAGGGGGGAGCTGGAGGCTTGTGCTTTCAGGGTGCAGGTGGGGCAGCTGAGGCTCTATGAAGATGACCAGCTGGCAAAGGTGGCTGAGATTGTCCGCCACCCCAAGTACAATGAGAGCCTGTCTGTCAGTGGAGGTGGGGACATCGCCCTGCTGCGGCTGGAGGTCCCCATGGCTCTGTCTGAGCGGGTGCACCCCGTCATCCTCCCAGCTGCCTCCCTGAGGGTCTCCTCGAGGAAGCGATGCTGGGTGACTGGCTGGGGCAACATCAAGGACTACAGTGGGTATCAGGGAGGCCTTGTGTCCATTCTATCTCCATTGCTGGGGTGAGGTGGGAGCCTCCAGCCCCAGGTGCTCACCTGGCTCCTCCCCACAGCACCACTGCCTGAGCCCTACCACCTGCAGGAGGTGGAGGTCCCCATAGTGGGGAGCCAGGAATGTGACCGGAAGTACCAGAACATGTCCTTCCCAGACATCTCTGAGAGGGTCATCAAGGAGGACATGCTGTGTGCAGGCAGCAGGGGCCGGGACTCCTGCGAGGTGAGGCTCACCCACCCTGTCTCTGTCCTCAAGTGGTCAATGAAGTGGGGACCCAGGCACTCCAGGCAGGGGATCTTGGAGGTACTGAGTCGGGCCTCTCCACAGGGTGACTCTGGAGGACCCCTCGTCTGCTTGTGGAACTGCACTTGGATCCAGGTTGGGGTGGTGAGCTGGGGCCAYAGCTGTGGTCATGCCGACCTACCTGGGGTTTACACCCGCGTGATGAGCTACGTGTCCTGGATCCATCACCATGTCCCCCAGTTTCCTGGATGCTAGATAGGCCAGGACAGGGCTATACGATGGTGGTGACCCCCGTCTTCCTTGTGATGCCCCTGCTTCTCCCCAGTTCTACATTCTCCCTAACTTCCTCACTCTTCTCAGCACTGAGACCCCTGCCCTCCTGGCCCAGAGTTTCCTGGACTTCCCTGAATCCCGGGAGAGAGGGRCTCTGAGCTGGTATCTCTTAAAGTGTAGTGGGTGTGGATGGGTGGCAGGACCCAGGCCTCCTGCTCACCCTGTCTCCCATTAAAATGTGCATTGTCAACAAAGATGTTGGGTCCACCAAAAACTAAAAACTAAAAATTAAAATTCTTTCTCTCCTCTCTCTCTCTCTCTTTAAAAAAAAAATGTGCATTGTCTAAGTGATCTCTGTTTGGACTTGGAGCCCAGAGGTGGACAATGGTGAGCCAGCAGAGTGGCCGTCCTTGGTCAGTGTTCCCAAGGCCACAATGCTGGCAAGAGGAAGGCTCTGATAGCCTCAATTCACCTTGTGATCCTTGGCCTTCAAAGGGAGGCAGACCCACAGTGGGAACAGTCGTGGGCTGCATATCCACTTGGCTGTTTGGGCAGAGCTTGGCTTTGGAGGACCTACCCGACCCGGCACTGCAGTCCCCACCCAGTGGTGTCAAGATACCCAAGCGGCCATTCCAGTTCTAAAGATGGGAATGCTGACTTCACTGTGGTACTCTACAACCTCCTACCCAGAGTCTGCATTGGGCAGCATCTAGCTGAATTCAGTGGGAGGGTCGGGTCCCCACTGACATCTGGGAGGAACCCTCTCCCATGGTTGATGGCTGAGTCCAGCAAAGTTCATAGTGAATTCTGAAGCCCTAGTCCCAGTGTGGTAGCACTGRGGAGGGAGAGAGGGAATTAGTGCCCTCGTAACAGGGACCCCAGGAAGCTCGTTAAAGGACATGGGAGAAGAAGGTGCTGTCTATGAGCCAGGAAGGGGCCCTCACTAGAATGTCCTTGGACACCTGGACCCTGACCCAGAGTTAGTAAGCCACTGAGACCACAGCAGGGGTTGGGACAGCCTCAGCCAGGAGGTGACTCCAAGCTTGGGAGCTGGCTTTCAGGTTGGGGGACCTCCCCTACTTCCTGGGACTGGGAGGGGACCACGCAGGTAAAAGCCCACAGATCTGCAGCAAGCAAGTGAGTGAAGTGGGTCTCAGAAGACCTTGTGGGGCAATGCTCAAAAGCCCACAGAGACAGTGAGGGTGGCTGCCAGGGGTAGGGATTAGTGGGGGGTTGGAGGGTACAGGCATTTTTTTTGGGGGGGTGAATGCTATAAAATCAGCCCTGGAGATGCTGCACAGCCCTGCGAATGTGCTGAAACCCATCGCACTACACACTAAGTGGGTGGATGGTGTGAGTCTTATCTCAATAAAGCTGCTAAAAAAACAAATAAACTTTAAAAAGTCCACAGTTTTCATTTCACCCCCCCACCCCCACGTCTTTTTCTTCTTTTTGTGGTGCTGGGGATTGAACCCAGGACCTTGCACATATTYGGCAAGCACTCTACCACTGAGCTACATTTCCAGTCCTTTTTATTTTTAAATTTTAATTTGGGACAGGGTCTGGCCTTGAACTTGTGATCTTCCTGCCTGAGCCTCCCAGGATGGCAGGCCTGTGCCACTGTGTCTGGGCCCAGCTCTTCTAAGGTTGCAAAACTAGACACATGTCCCTAGAAGCTGCTGAGCACCTGAGTCCACAATTAGGTCTGGGCCTCCTGGACCCTTGGACATGACACATGGGTGTCCAAGGCTCTTGCCCTGGAGGCAGGGTCTGCCGCAGAATGGTACTGAATGCTGGTGCTAAGTTCGGGGAATCCCCCTGTGGGGACTTTCTGTCTTGTGGGTCAGTGACTTGACATGGCCAATGGGGGAGCCTTGTGTGCAGGATTCCTGGGGTGGGGGTGGAGGTATTCACAGTTGGGCGAGGGCCCAGGATGGCAAGAATGGGATCGCCAGGGGAGGCAGGGCCACCAAGGAATCCTGGTGCCAGCCAGCAGTGCCCTTGTTCCTCAGCTCCTTTTCAGTGTCTGGCAAGGACCTGTCCCCAGAGCCGTGGAGCCCACTGGGGCTCTGAGGAGCAGACCTGCCCAAGCTTATTTCCAAACCGTAGGCCCCCACCTCACATCTCACCAGCCCTTGCTGCCTAGGCCCCAGGAGACAGCTGAAGGGACAGGAAGCCYTCTTCTCCCAAGGGCAGTTGTCTAGTGCCCCTGGAGAGGCAGGAAGAGTGTAGGAAGTGGGTCCCTGGCTCCAGCTCACACAGACCTGGCTCTCTCACTATGGGGCCTGTTTCCCACGTCCTCTGGTGTTCTGGGCTCCACGTGGCTCGTCTGGGCCCTGGGGCTCTSTGGGGCTGGGGTTGTTGGTGGCTCTGTGTGGAGGATGCCGCTGTCCRGGCTTCCAGGGCTGGTACCAGGCCCCACTTGCACTGTGTCCTTGTCTCTCCTGCACCTGGGGTTCCGTGCCTGTGGGTCCTGGCCCCATTCAATGTTCCCGCTGTCCTGGGACCTGTCCCCATCTCCAAGCCTGCACTGGTTTGGGAGGAGTGGTGACCCCACATGTGGCTGGCGGGCTCACCCTGGGTCCTGGGAGGCACCAGGGCAGCTGTCAGTGGTGAGCTCTGGGCAGGGCCCAGTGTTGGGGTTTGTGGGCATCGTGGGGTCTTGACCTTCAGGAGAGTGGCCCTGACAGGTCAGGATCTTGGACAAAGATCACTGCCAGTGGGAACACATGTGGGGACCCTGCGTCGGCCCCTGAGGGCACTGGCTACTGCCTGAGCAGCAGGAGTGACTCGCTGTCCACCCCTCCTAGGGTGCRAGGGTCTGTGGAGTGGGGGCAAGCAGAGGGCTGGGGGATGGCTGAGCCCCACTGAAGATGCCAAGCCTGTGCTCTGCCCTTGYCTAGCTGTGGGGGCTCACCTCTGTGTCCCTCCTGTCCCTTCATAACCTGGGGCCTCCTGCTGGTCTCTGGGGAGGGACTGCTCCAGCAAGGTCCTCTATGCTTCYCTCATTGGGCACCTCTGACCTGGGAAACTCTCCAGCCCCAAGGGAGAGAGCTTCATCTGCTGCCCAGCTGCCAGCCCCAAGCCCAGCATAGGAGACACCTTGGGGCTGGGTAGGAGGCTTCCGGRAAACCACTGGTGAGTGCAGGTGGCATTCTGAATCAGCTGGGCCACCTGAGTGCCATCAGGATCCCAACCATGGGGTTTACAGGAGAGAACTGATTGTGCAATTTACCAAGGGACAGAGCAGAGGAAAATGGCATAGGATATACCCAACAGATGAGGAAAAGGATTGGAATATTTTGGTTGACACATTCAACCACATATTTGGATAAAGATAAGGTCTTGACAAATTCGCAGGATGTCACCAAAGCCTGCAGCAAACGTTCCACTTAATGGTGAAATGCAGGTAGCCCTTCCTCTGGGCCAGGGACCCTCAGGGCCTGCCACCTCCTTGCCTCTGCCCTACGTGGGGCAGGTGACCTGGAGCTATAGGCCAGCTGAGAAACCAGGGGAAGGTGTAGGCCAGGCCAGGAAGGGGCCAGGCTGTCCTTGCCCGGGACCAAGCAGCAGTCTTCCTAGACCTCCCAGGGTGCCTGGGACACTGCAGAGGGACTGACAGTGCTTTCCCAACCAGGAGACTGCATGCCACCTGGAAAAAAGTCTGGCAGAGCAGGCGAGGGTTCACAGAGGAGCCAGCCAGCCAGACARCTTGGCCTAACTATGTCCCATGTGGGTGGCCATGGACAGGGAGACTCAGCGTCCCGGGCTACCGATATTAGGGATCGCTACCGATTATTCCTAAAGTGTGACAGCTGAGTCTTTACGTGTTTAGGGCAGCTTTATGCAAGTAGACTGTTACACCAAACTGTTGATTAAAAGAGAATTAATCTGGCTAGGGCTGGGGCTCAGTGGCAGAGCGCTTGCCTAGCATGTATGAGGCACTATGTTTGATCCTTAGCACTGCATAAAAAAACTAAACAAATAAAGGCATGCTGTCCATTTACAACTATAAACAAACAAACAAAAAACGATTAGTTCATATTTTTTAAAAAAGAGAATTAATCTTTGGTTATAAGACTCAATTTGATAAGAGAATTTTTGAATAAATTGTATTTGGTTGGCATGAAAACTTTAGGAAATAAAAATGCTTGGCTGGCCCTGCTCTGCATCTCCTTGTTATTTTTTGTGGTACTGGGGATCAAACCCAAGGATTCCAGCATGCTGGACAAACATTCTACTACTGACCTACATCCCTAGCTGCTGTTTCTTTTTTTCTGCCACAGGCTCAGTCCTGCTGAAGTTATATAGAGAACACTGGGCTGTCTTCTGGACAGGAAGAGGTCATGAGGCAAGGACTACAGTTTATACTGCGTGGTTRCCTGTACTCACAGCCCTCTCACAGGCTGAGGAATGGAGATCAAGGAGCACATGGCATGTCTGTTGTGACTACCGGGATTATAACCAATCACAGGGTTACATGACTCTGTTTACAATGTCATCACCAATGGGATTTGTTCCCCTTTTTGTTAAAGAAAGTTGCTTTTGCTCACTCAAATCTATAAAATTTACATTTGTAAATTGTACATTGTAAGATCTATAAATTTTACATGTGTCATAAAAAATAAAATGTATTGCCAGGTACAGTGGTGCACACCTGTAATCCCAGTGACCCAGGAGGCTGAGGCAGGAGGATTATTGCAATCTCTAGGCCAGCCTGAGCAATTTAGCAAGACTATGTCTGAAAATTTAAAAAATAAAAAKGCCTGGGGCTTTAGCTCAGAGAACCCCTGGGTTCAATCCTCAATAGAAAGAAGAAAAAAAGAAAGAAATCAAACCTATCTGCTCACATGAAAATGAGCATCCGTCCTCTCAGCCCTGCTCTGCAGCCTCACCAGCAGAAACAGCCTCTCTGTATGAGCCCTGTTTCCAGCCCTGTTTCCATCTGTGCTGTTGGGCTAGTTGGGCCAGCTGTGGAAGTAAACTCAACACCGCGCTCAAGTCAGTTTGAAGTGGAAAGCACAACTCCCAGTCCCCTTGGCTCTGAGGTAGAGGCCCCGATACCCAGGGTGATCTGGAGGAAGGCTWTCAGGAAGGCAGCCCACCCAGCAGCAATTCCCAGAGGAACGGCGCTTGGGCGTATGAAGGTGGCACATCTCCCCAGCAGCACTGCAGAGAGCTTAGCTGGGTGGAAGACAAACAGCCTCACGGGCCTCCTGCCACCCACTGCCACAGGCTCCAGTCCTGCGGAATTTCTTGTTTTTTTGAGAGTTTCTCTTTTTTATCGGTGCATTGCAGTTGTACGTGTTGGTGGGATTTGTTGTTACATATTTGTACGTGACACACTAGGAAGATGGAGTTTGGCCAGTGTCACTCGCCAGTGCTTCCCACACTGAAGGTCTTATTTTGTAAAAGGAAACAAAAACAAAAACAAACAAACAAACAAAAAGAACATTACAGGGGGATATTATGAATTATCTTCRTTTTCATGTAAACAAAAAATAATTTTTTTGGTTTGTTTTCAGTGTTGGGGATCAGACCCAAGACCTTGCGCATGGTAGGCAAGCAATGCAATGCTGAATTACATCCCTAGATTGTTTTAAAAAGAGCACAAAACCTAGGCCAGCGGGGTGGCTTAGTGGTAGAGCATTTGCCTGGCATGTGTGAGATCCTGAGTTCAATCTTCAGCACTGGAAAGAAAATAAAAAATAAATTTAAATGAAAGAATAAAAAAACCAAAAATGATAAAAGGACAGCAGCGGCGAGGCCCTAAGCAACGCGCAGTGAGTCCCTGTCTCTAACTAAAAAACAAAACAGGGCTGGGGATGTGGCTCAGTGGCCAAGGGTCCCTGGGTTCAATCCCTGGTACCAAAGAAACAAAAACAAAAACAAAAACAAACAAACAAACAAAAAACAGATAAAAGGAAAGAATTGATGGTTTTAGCCACCTTTAAGTCTAAAACTGAAACACAAAGACTCACATGGGGATGAGCCATACATGGGAAGGAACATAGTGTCCAGAATATATAAAGAGTTCAGGTATTCAATAAGGGAGCTGCCGACAGGAGAAGAGCGCCAGCCACTCGGGGCTCCTAAAGCCCTCTGTCCTGTGGAGGCAGGAAGGTGGAAACCTCCTTTCCCAGGGTGCGCTAGCCCCAGGGCTCTGATGAGAAAGGGACCCATCAAACACCTGTGTTCMGTGAGATTGGCAGGTGAAGGAGGCGTGGCCTCTCTCTGTACTTCTGCCAGGGATGAGGCTGGCTTTCATGAAAAGTTCAGGGTACAAGAGAAGGAAACAATGCCCACAGTCACAGATCACAGAGATTGTACAGAGCAGAACCCTGAGGGACAAGCGCACAGGCCCTGGCTCCACAGCAGTTACAGCAACCAGGGAGCCGGCTGGCTCTGGGAGAGGCCCAGGCTGTCAGAGGACACCCTGTCCCTGCCTCTCACTAACTCCCCACCTGGCCCTTCTGCCTGTGGTGGGCCTCCGCAGAGCCTGGGCGACATCTCTACGCCAGCTCCAGCCCCTGCAGCCACCCYCAGCTCCCTGCATCCTGCCTGTCCTCTCCATCCGAGGGGCACCAGAGGGGCAGTGGATGACACCCACCCTGACTTGTCACGCCATGTGCAACAGAAAATGGTCCCAAGGATCCCAGAAACACTGGGGACAGTCTCTCGGGTCCTGGGAAGCCCCAGCTCTAGCCAAGGAAGCTGGTTTATCCTGATGGAGTTGAACTGGCCTCCAAGGCTGGGCTCCAGGCCCTTCCTCCCTGGGTTCCATGACCTTRGGYCTTCAGAGCCYTCGGCTCAGAGACACTGGTGCCCCTGTGCTGGATCCCTCTGYCCAGCCTTCTGCCCAAGCAGCCCTCTTGCAACACTGCCTGGGTGGCCACATCCTTCACCTGAGCCCAGGCATCCTGGCCACAGCCCATCTGGCCCCAGTCCTAACGGTCACACAACTGGAGCCCCCGGGTCCCTGGTTTTTTCTCTGATGCTATCGCTGAATGTGCTCATGGTAGCCTGGTCCTGACCCTATCAGGGTGACCAGATATCCTGTCCCAGTGCTTGATTCTTAACCATTGTCTTGATCAAGTAGTGGGGGCCGCAGGTGGACCCCTCCATGCTGAGTGGCCCAGGCCCCATGCCTGGAATAGAAGCAGGATGTGTAGTGTTTCTCTGAGGGAGATGGCCCTGGTGTCACTGTTTAGGGGGGCCACACTGTCCCAGGAGGGCACCAAGGGCACATCCCTGGCCCCACTTCCTTCTCCACTGATGGCAGCTGCCCTTAGGAGGGCCTGGGTGGCTGGGTGCTCCCTCCAGGCCTCTCCTGAGGCTTTCCCCAACACGTGCCCCTCTCCCTTCTCTGCTCTTGCCAGCTGGTTCTGATAGMCTGTGAAGCTCAGCCTCCCTGGACACCCCAGGGCCCCACCTCCTCGATGCCAGGACTCCATTGCCCCAATTCCAGCAGAGACCCTGCCTGGACACAGCATGGTTCTACTGTGCTCAGTTTGGGTCTCTGAAAGCCAAGACCCAGAGCCCCCAGGCCCAGGTGATGGGGCTCTCGGGGATCACCCAGTCCTGTGCAGGGCCCTCTGCCTGCCTCAGGCCTTCAGTCCTCTGCCTCCTGCTAAGGTGACCCTTGGTCCAGCTATGGGTATCCACGGTCCCCTCTGCAACTGTCCCTGTTCCCAAGGCACTGCCAGCCCTGTCACTCACAGCCACTGTGACCTGCATCACCAGCCACCCTAGAGGCCTGCCTGCATCTGGAGCTCAGGGCCAGCCAGTCATGAGAGGGACAGGAATCTCCGTCCCAGTCACCTCGGGGAGCAAGGAGGAGCTGGTTCCTGCTGGGTGCAGAGGCCTGAGGGCTTGGGTGAGATGGCCAGAGAGGAGGTGGCCAGCTTGCTGGCTCCCCACAGAGTGGGACTGTCCACTCAGAGAGAGGTCCAGTCTGTCATGGAGTATGCAGGGGGATGGTGCATGGGGGCCTCAGGACTGACCCTGAATGTGGGGCTGTCCCTCAGGGGCCTCGGGCAGTGCACCTGCTGAGCTTTCCTGTGGCCAGTAGGAAAGATTGGTGGTAAGAGATTGGTCTGCACTAGCCCAGACAGGAGCAGAGCCTGGCCTGGCACAGAGGTGCCAGAAGACAGAGGCCCAGCAGAGGAGCCTGAGCAGCAGCTCCCCAGGACGTGCCTCCTCTCCCCAGATGCTCCCAGCCCAGGGAGCTTGGCCACCTGGTAGTGAGCACCTCCATGTCTGGGGAAGGCTGCTGACCTACCCTGTCCCCTGCCAGGGTGCTGAACGACCTCAGGAGGTGCTGGCCCTTCTTTCAGCACCAACCCTGAGCCAACAAGCCCTTCTCCCACCCCAGCCTCTAGGGACATTCTTCCAAGATCATGGTGAGGTCCGAGTAATCCTGACTCTGGCTGACCCAGACCCTGGCAAGAACCTAGAACCCCGTGTTTGGGTCACCAGCCCCTTTTGCATCTCAGGCCAAATGCCACTTCCTCTCTGCCCCTCCTCCAAGCAGAGCACTGGACAAGCCCCCTGCCCACTTCCTGTGGCTGGAGGATAAAGGATAGAGAGGCCCAGGGAGGAGGGAGCCCAGGAGCCCTGGCAAGGTAGGGTGCTGTCCCTGTAGACTGCTGTGGCTGGCCCTGGCCTGCTCTACCCCTGGCCTCAGGTAGCCCAGCACCCTCTGTGTCTGTCCTCTGCAGATGCTGAGCCTGTGGTTTGTGACCCTTCTCTTGGTGGGGACCTCCAGTGCTGGGACCCCGGGTGAGTCCTGACCCATTTGACCCTGTCCCTTCCTCAAGCGCCTTTGAGCACTGTCCCCAGGATCTGGGGACATGTGCACGGCCTGTTCAGGCCCGAGTTGGGGATCYTGGCCTGTGTGCGCCAGGCTCCCTGACCTTCACCTGTTGCTTCTAGCACCTGTCTCTCAGAACGACCTGGTGGGCATCGTGGGTGGCCACAATGCCCCCCAGGGGAGGTGGCCGTGGCAGGTCAGCTTGAGGGTCTACAGCTACTACTGGGCTGCCTGGGTGCACATCTGTGGGGGCTCCCTCATCCACCCACAGTGGGTGCTGACTGCTGCCCACTGCATTGGCCGGTGAGTCCCCTCCCTTCCGCCTGGCTCTGGGTTGGATATGGGGGCTAAACCAGGGGGTATGGGCAAGGCCTGGGCTGCACATGTGGGGCCACTTTGTCTTCCTAGGCCTGTTGGCCTTCTGCAATGCCCCAAGGGACCTAGAGTGAGTTGCCTCCATGGTTTCTCTCCAACTCCAGGAAAGATGCTGACCCATCAGCCTACCGGGTCCAGGCTGGGAACATTTTCCTCTATGGGGACACGAAGCTGCTGCGTGTGAACCGGGTCATTGTCCACCATGACTATGTGAATGYCTTCTTGGGCTCAGACGTGGCCCTGCTGCGTCTGGAGAAACCTGCAGTGTGCTCTGCCAACATCAAGCCCGTCAGGCTCTCCTCCCTGTCTGATAGTGTCACCCCAAGGGACCAGTGCTGGGTGACTGGCTGGGGCGCCATCAGCATGTTTGGTACATACAGWGGGTGTGGCTGGAAGGGTTTCTGCGTGGGACCTACACTTGCTCTGAGAACTGTTGGAGGCCGCGTGGTGCTGGGTTTCTGGGGGAATCCAGGGAGTGGCCGAGGAACCCAGGGCACTCCCATCGTCTCCCACCCACCGMGGTCTCCTGGGAGCCTCAGCACCTGCACAGGGAAAGCCTGAGCCCAGAGCTCAGTGCTTTGAGAAGGGAAACATTTGGTTTTGAAACACCAGAAGAACGCGTTGCTCATTGTCTCTCTGGTGCCCCAATTGCAGGCCTGTAGAGTGCCTGTGTGGAGTGCCAGGGTTCAGGTGGACATGGTCCCTATGAGCTGTGTCTCCACACAGTGTGTGACAGGAGAGAACTGAGGCCAGGGATGCAGAGGGGAGGTGGCCGTGGCAGGTCAGCTTGGGCAAGGGTAGGGTCTAGCCACACCTCTGCTGCTAGCCCCCCTTTTCTCCCCTAGGCTCCCTGCCCCCACCCTTCCGCCTGCAGCAGGTGGAGGTGCAGGTGGTGGAGAATGCAGTCTGTGAGCAACAGTACCACAACGCCAGCAGGCACCGACACAGGGACCAGAGAATCATCTTGGATGACATGCTGTGTGCGGGCAGTGAGGGCCGCAGTGCCTGCTATGTAAGTCCTTTTCCACCTGCCCACCCCCATTTCACCTTTGGGGCCAATACCCAGTGACTCCTTTTCCTCCTAGGGTGACTCTGGAGGGCCCCTGGTGTGCAAGGTGACAGGCTCCTGGAGCTTGGTGGGAGTGGTCAGCTGGGGCAAAGGCTGTGCCCTCCGTGACATTCCTGGGGTCTATGCTCGGGTCCAGTCCTTCGTGCCATGGATCCAGCAGCAGATGAGGAGGTACACCTGAGGGCAGACCACTGGCCTTCTGCTGGTCAGCCAAGCCAGCCAAGGAGAAGGCAGCTCACCTCCCAAGTGTGCTGCTTTGGCCTCAGTTCCCACCCCTGAATCTATGGTGCCCAGGTCCTCCCTGACTCCTATCAGCAAGCAGTGTGATGGGTAGGATGGGGCCTGGGCTTGCTGTGCAGTCTCTCTAATGAGAGGGCCTGGGGAGGGGCTTGTGCTCCAGGGCACAGGTGCCCATTCTGCTTAGTGTCTAGNCCTGGGGAGGGGCTTGTGCTCCAGGGCACAGGTGCCCATTCTGCTTAGTGTCTAGCAGTTGAAGGACGTTCGAGCTGTTTGTGCTTTGTGGCCACGATGAATAAAATGCTATACGAACATTTGCTGTCAGGGTTTTGTGTGAGCGTAATTCCTCTTTTTCTGGGAGAAATCCTCAGCGGATGTTTTGCCAAGGAGACAATGCTTGTACTTTCCCAGTGGGGCTTTTATGCCCTAGGTCTGCACACTCCAGACTTGGTGCTCCAACCTTGTCCCCAACTCTGGGCTCCTTTCATCTTGTCACTCTGTCCCCTCATGTGCAGAGCCTGCCAACTATATCCTGGAGCCCAGATAGGCCATGATGCACAGGGTGGGGTGGGGTGGACATGCTGAGTCTGAGCCATGTGGTGGTAAGAGATTGGCCCTGTCCAGAATCAACCAGGGACAGTGAGCTGAGGGCCAGCTCAGACCAGAACTTCCCTGTCTTCTGTCCCCCATGTTTATTCTGCATGGGGCCTGGGACGGCTCAGCACCCAGATCATGTACTTAAGGTTACTCCTGAAGCCTTGTGGTTACCTTGAATTCCCACCAACCATCCCCTTGCCTAATGCCCTAGGGGAAGGCTGATGAGGTATGGCCTTCCCTCACTTAGGGCAATCCTGACCCTGGGCGTGCTGTGGAGGGCGGGGCTGGCCACGCTGTGCAGAACCTAGAGAGTAGGGGCTGGGTGGGAGCACCTACATCCTTGGCCAGTCATGCAGCCCCTCCTGCAGATTCCAAGCTGGCCTGGTGAGAGAGGCAGAGGAGGCAGGCCAGCCTGCAGGACCCACTTCTTGGTCACTGCCAGGAAATGGAGTCTCTTGAGGAAGAAACTCAAGGCACAGGGGACAGTGACAGGGCGCATGCTCTATGGCATGCAGGGATCCTGTGGTCTTTGGGCCTGTCAGGAGCTAAACTAATACCAGAAGAGATTTATCCCAGGCTGCTGGATGGGGTCAATTGGGCCTCATGAGAGGAAGAAGCATTGGAAGGGGAGGTCTGAGTCTGGAGGGCTCCTGGCCTGCTGTGGAGGCAGGAGAGAGCTGGCATTTCTTATCTGCAGCTGGGCAGGGCTGTGAGGGAGAAGAGGGCATTCCAGGGAGGTGGGCAGTCACCCAGTCAATGTGGCAGTCTGCCTGAACCTGTAGAGCCCATGGTCCTGTCCACCTACCTGCAGGCTACCTGCAGGCCCTCCATCCACAGGCAGGCTCCACCCCAGCCCAGCCCTCTCCAGCCCCAGGCTCCAGGATCCTGGCAGGACAGGTAGGGTGGGAGGCCAAGGGGAAGTCTTTATGGGAGCCCAATCCTGTGATGGCAGGCCAGGTCAGATGGCATGATGTCACCGGCAAAGGGAGGAAGCGAAGCCCCAGAGTCCTATGGGTACCCGGGTGCTGAGGCTTTGCAGATCCTGCCCTTTCTCTCCCCATGGGTGTGACTCCCTCGATGCTTTTCATATCCCCTTCTTGGGAGAAAGGGGTGAATCCTCTGGTCCCTGACCTTCTGTGCCGTCTTGCACCCCTGGAGGAGTGACCACAGCACCTCTGTCTGGTGTCCCCAACTCCTTTGCTCCAAGGTCCCTCAGGGCCCCTTTAATAGCCCTCTCCCTGAGTTTTCTACCAGTCAGATTCTGTGAGCAAGATCTGGGGGGGTGGGACCAAGTTCAATCCAATCTGTCTCTGAGCTCAAGACCTGCCCTGCTGGACTCCTGTGTGGGGCTGGCCTCGAGGCACCTGGGATGGCATTCCAAGTCCTTCCTCTTGAAGCATTGGGCTCTCGGGCTCAGGAGGAAACCTAGACACAGGACAGGGAGACAAGATTCACCAGCACTCCCAACATGCCAGAAATGGTGCTCTTGGTATGCTGCTCCTCAGAATGACAGCCAGGGACACATCCTGCCAGATGCCAGCAAGGAGACTGACTGGAGCTACTATTACAGGTGGCTGCTTAGTCCAAATTCATTCCAAGTTAACCAAAGTTAAAACTTCAGTTGCTCAGTCCCATGAGCTGCATTTCCAACAGTCAATATCTATGTAACAGGGGTTCACTTGATGCTTTGACTATATCCCTTGTGGCTTTGAAACTTAAAAGTTTTTTTTTCTTTTTCCCAATCTTCCTTTCCCTAAACTTCTCCTCCCTGATCTTCTCCTTCCTCATCTCTCCTCCCTAATCTCATTTTCTCTGAATCACCTCTATAAAAACACCTTGTTCCTGATGATGGACAGAATCACAGCCTTTAGGACAGGAGTCCCCTGTGTTTCTCCTTGGCTAGCAAAGCAATAAAGCTTCTTTTTCCTTTTTCTCAAAACCATGTCCTCATTATTGGATTGACAACGGGAACAAGGACTGAGATTTCCGCAACATCTATATGCTGCGGTAGCGACAAGCCTGCACAGCAGTTATGTTGCCTGTTATTGTAGAAAGTTCCACAGGGCAGCACTGGCCCAGGGATTCCAAAATATGATCCCAGTGGATAGATCTAGAGATGTAGGTGGGAGGGGATCTCCCTCCCATCCAGCCCTGGGCCCTTCATCGACAAGACAGCACCGGATTCCGGAGAAGGGGCACCAAGGTGGGGGTGCCTTGCTGGGCTGCCCACTACCTTCTGCCCTTCACCCTTCTAACGTTGCCACCATCTCTGCAGCAGTGAGAGGCTGTGTTCCTAGTTCCCAAAGCCCACAGTACAGGGGCCCGGCGGCCACCCCTCATGACCCATGAGAGGATGGCACATCACCTGCAGAGTGCAGGGCCAGTGTGTCCACAGAAGCAATTTCACCAGCCAACACTGAGTGCTGACTGGTGTCCACAGGGTCCCCAGGTGGGTCCTGCTACCCATAGGCTGGGAGGCCCAGGCTGCCCGCTTCTGTAGGGCAGTGGAATGGGAAAGAGAATTTGCGGCAGGGAAGGGCCTCCAACCACACAGCCTTATGGGCTTACAACTGCCTGACAGGCACCCACTCCTACAAGCTGGCGGGGAAGTCATACCAGCTCTCCAAGGAAGGTCCAGCACTGCCCAAATCCTTTGGATTAGGGAAGAAGATGGGTTTCACTATTGGAAAATCAATGAAAATAGAAAAAATCTAAAGAGCAAATGATTTAGAAAACACTGGAAAGGTAGAGGAGAGAAACCATCATAATTGAAAGGTAAATTCTACTTGGAGGCCCTCCACAGCCCAGGATGGCCATTCTCAGCCTNAATTCTACTTGGAGGCCCTCCACAGCCCAGGATGGCCATTCTCAGCCTGAGCTGTACTGTCAGCCTCCCTTAGCAGAAGCAATAAGGAATACATAACTGGCTCGTCCCAAGAGCCACCTGATTCACCCTGTCCCACTACTGTTGGTGCCAAATCCTTTGTGGCATGTTCTTGGTAGATGAGAGACGGTGACCACTATCCCTGGGGGCTCCCTAGGGGTAGGCGTCATTCCAGGCACACTGGGTAGATTACTCCCTTCTCCTGGGGAGGCACCAGCACCCCACTTTCCAGCTGATGAAAGTGGGGCAAGGAGAATGACCATCTTCCTGAAGTGGTGTCCTCAGCGGGCTGAATAGCAGCTGTGCAGGTGCCCACCCCCTCCACCCTCTCTCTCTGCTTGGAAGTCTGTCTCTTTGACCACACTGGGTTCTTCATGGACAAGGCTCCCAAATGAGATGGACCCACCATGTTCCAGTGATAGACGCTTAACCGTGGGTTGGGCAGCATACAGTCTCCTGTAGATGAAGGCTCTGGGGTAAGCTCTCCTCTCCCTGCACAGCTTTGCTGTCCTCACTGCCCCAAGMCCTGGCCTCCTCCACAGCCTAGTCAACTTCCAGACCTGTGTAATCAGCTGGGAGTGTCTGTCCTGTGCCACAGTCCTCAGGGCTCCCTCTGTGTGACTGTCAGCAGCCATCTTACAACAGAGACTCATCCCAGGCGGAGGGATGAGTTGAGCTAGGCAYCTGTGCTCTTCTCCTGTACCAGCATGCTCACCGCTCTGGCCGTGAGGGGGTCTTTCTTCCCCTTGGTCATCCCCTACTGGATGACGTTTGTGGGACATCAGGCAGAATGGTAGGTGAGAGGCAAGGGGCTAGGGCCAGAGGGATGCACCCCAAAGTAAAGCAGAGAACACCCCAGCCTTCTCTCTGTTCTGAACTCCTCCAGTGTCCTCGTCCAGCCAATCCAGGCTACCAGTCCTCAGTATCCTCCTTACCAGGACCCTCAGCTGCAGGTCCCCGGGGAGGCAACCCACTGGGAAGGTACAGCCAGCTGCTTCCCAAAGCAGGCTCTGGTTGCTTCTGTGATGCTGACTCTGTGCTGTAGAGGCTCTGCCTGAGCCCCAAAGGCTGTAGGAAGTAGATGTGCACATCATTGCCTGCAGGTGTAGACTTATGTCTGTGAGCCCATAGTCAAGGAGATGCTGTGTGCTAGCTACTTCCATGGCCATAAGGCTTCTGCCAGGGCAGCCCCCTGCCCACCGAGCCCCCAATCCACAGTGGGGCCAGGGAGAGTCACTGAAACTTTAAGGCCAGTGGGGATGTGGAAGCAGAGAATTGGTGATGAACCTTTGCCATGGTTGGCCAAGCCCATCTCCTAATCCTCAGTGACCTGAGAGGCTTTAGTTTTCAGCTGGGGGGGAGGGCGTGGACTGGCTCAGGGAGGGTGCAGACTCTGCCTGTCACCTTGGTAACCTGGTGCCTAGGACTGTCTGACTGCAGCTGGAATCCATAAGTACTATAAG